TGCCACAGATCTGCTGACCCACCCCACCAAGTGTTGGCATGATGGACAAAGCTGGTACCTCCTTCCAGGTCATGGAAGTTGGGGAGGGGGGCTTTTTCTGAGCCCCTACAGCTGTTTTATAATGGAGGTGTTAGTGAGTTAGTGTTGCTCTAGGTTCCCTTCAGAGTCAGTGGAGGGAAACAGTCATTTCTGGGGGATTTCATCTCGTCTGAAGCAGACACCTGAAGCAGGGCAGAGGAATCATGTCCCGAAGGTGCTCATTTTCCTCTGTTGACAGCAGAGGCCAGCCTGAAGCATGACAGGTGGGCTCACCCCTGTCACAGCATCACACACCAAACACAGCTGCACCTCTGGGAAGGGACAAAGCTGTGACTCCTGCTGCTTCCTCCTGGACAATCCTGCTGGGGGGCAGCACCCATCCCCACCTGTGGCCAAGGATGAGAGTCCTTCCTGACTCCACCTTTGGAATGACAGAAAGGAGAGCCAAGAGATTATTCCACCCATCCCCTTGGCCCTGTAGGGCTGTTTACCAGTGAGTGGCTATAGGGTTATGGCAAATTACCTGCCCTATAAACTGAGCAATTCAGCACTGACACACCCTAGGCCTCCTGTTGCCATCTATTACCAATCATACGTTCTTATTTCCTTTTTCCAGGGGTGAATTCAGCAAGTACCAGACACAGATTTAGGCCCCATTCAGCAGAACTGAATAAAAAGGATCTTCTACTGAAATACTAATTAGTATTTGATAACTAATGGCACAATATTCAGGCTCTTGTGTGTGATACTCAAGCTCACTGATAGCTGGCACTCTGCAGCTATCCCTTTCCTCAGACAAGAGGAATGATTAGACATGTGAAATGACCTTAGTGATAGTCAGGGAAAATGGCAGTTGGAATATCACATTTTTTAATTAGCTGAAAGCTAATATTTAATTACATTTGTGATTCATCGAGTGGTTCTTTACACAGATAATTTGGCCATGCTCGTGAAATTTTATCTTTTTTTTTTTTTTAAATATTAATTTACTTAAGTTGCTGATTCAGTGAATCCAATGTGAAAAATTTCCACAAGAAACAACTGAAAAAAATAAAGAGTCCGTACTCTGCCTAAACTTTCTGATCATGAGAAGACAAATTAAATTGGGATTTTTAATTTACTTGATAGACAATGAGCCTTTTAATTGGTTGAATGGTGTGTTTATTGTTGCAATGAGATGAATAAAAGTTTAGGAGCTGCTGTCAAGACCAGACCACAGTGATAACGAGGTGGTTTTGGCAAAGTCTAACAAACAGGTTAATCCCTTGCCTGAGGGGTAGTCGGGTGACTGCTCCCAGTTCCCTGACTCCATGAGTTGTGATGTTCTCTCACCCTGCGCCAACCCAGGACACAAAGAAAAGAAAGTGGAAGAAGAATTTTGTGGAGGAAACAAAAGCATTTTCCTCCAGTGTTTCCTCGGGGTTCAGGGCTGTGCCTTAAGCTGGTATTTAGGCGCTTGAGAGACACCCAGGGTCACACTGAGATCCCACAGACACCTTTATCCCTTCCTTTTTTGGCTGTAATTCCCGCATGAGCTTAACTGCATGTTTAACCAGAGAGCTGCATGGCTCTTCATGCCTGTCACAGCACACAAAGGCTGCTGCCAGGACACAGCCAAGGTGACCCGAAGGCAGCAGGAGCTCCCGTTGTCTGTCCAGGCACTCTTTGTTCCATGTCCGCCCTCCAGAGTCATGAAATTCAGTCATTTCCCAACTTACATGCTGGAAAAGAAGACACTGCTTTTTAAGAGAGAACGGCAGTGCACTTCAGCACTCCAGGCAACGGGGAGTGAGTTTCCAGACTGAGCCAAAAATTCAGGAATTGTTGAGGGTTTTGGTGCAAACAGGTCTTGGAGCAGCTGATCCGGGGGCAGGGAGCGCTATCTGGTGGCTCCTGCTGAGCAGCGCATCCCTTTCTTGATCCTATACCATCGTGAACGTCTGATCAAGGTGCTGACGAGATTTTTGGAAGCTCAGATGCAGTGTTTTATTCATTCAGCCTCCCACTTTCACAAATATTCCACCATGCAAAGGTCAAGTGTCCCTCACGGCAAGAGCAACTGAAGAGAGATGCGACCTGCAGCACAAAAGAACTTCAGTTTCCCAGGGCAAACTTTTAACTGGGGCCATGGGACAGCAAAGTGGACGTGAGCTGGACAAATCTCAGCTTTTCACTGCAAGCTTTCTAACCAAAAATTGAGCACAGCCCTAAATTTCTTGGATATTTGGAAACTGAGTCCTTAAAAGAACCCGTTAACATTGGAAACAATTGGCAGAGGGGTGTGTTTATACAGCAAAAATGTTTAAGTCAACTCCCTTTCAGCAGCAGTGCTGTCTGGATCTGCTCAGAAAGGGAAAACTGTGTTTCCAGCAGACAGACACGGCAGCTCGATCCATTTAATGGTAGCTAAACAGATATGTTGTTGATTTGGATCCCCAGAATGTGGTGTCCTGGGACAGCCCAGCTCTCGTAAAAGTGACTAAAATGACACAGGCCTGCTTGGATTACTAATGGTAATGTTTCTGTTCCTGGATTATTTCCACACTATTACACCTGGAAGCAGACGTCAGCAGTTTTTTTTATTACAAGGTTAGTCATAAGCACTAACCATGGTCCCTGGTAAAGCCAGGCAACATCCTCTGCAGGTAATGTGGGCCTGAGGAGCTGCTGGCTGATGTCTCAGCAGCTCGTGCACGTTTCCAGGCACCAGCTGCCAAGGTCCTACCCAGACCCAAATCCCACAGTTCATTTTTCCAGGCCATGCTGAGTGCACACATGCACTCCTTACTCTGTAGGCCAGCATATATTTAGGATGTGCTAAAGTCCTACAGCATTTTTCTTGCTGTTTGAGAAGAGGAAAGCAAGCAGCTAAGCTTGGGTAAGGCACAATATGCTGTTGGCTTAGGTAGTCTGTGGCTCTGACCCCTCTTGTTGCTCATTTGTCCAACTTGAGTGTCTTTAGATCCTTTAGTGTCTCGCTCCAGTGTCAGCACAGGGTAGAGCCAGCTCTCTGCAGAGGGAACTTCTGTCCCCGTGGCTTCCCTGTGCTCACCAGCCAGTTCCTTCTGTTCCTCTGGCACTTGGCTCACAGGCTGGGGACAGCAGGGGAGACACAACATTCCCAGTGTTTCCCAGGCCTGTCTTATTAAGTCTGAGAGCATGTCCTGTTGCTTCCTCCTCCCTGTCAAGGTGTTGTTCCTGCTCTCCATCACGAGTCTACAATGACAAGGGCACAAAGGGAAATTCCTAGCATAGCCTACAAAATCCCAACTGGGTAGAAGGTGGTAACTGCACAACCTGCTCTTCCACAGCATGGCTACATCCAGTCCCATACTGCCTGTGCCCATGGGACTGTAGTTCAATAACTGAGTATGGCCCTGGTAAATTAGAGGTAAATTGCTTAATATACTAAGCTCTGGTTGGTGTGTGCTGATCAGAGTCCTGCTTTCAGGCACGTATTTCATGCTGTCCTACAATACATGCTTCCTAACATTCTTAAATCTCCACTGACCGCTCACTTCATTATCTTCCACATTTATGAACTTAAGCAATTTACCTCTAATTTTTACTGTTTTGTGTAGAACCCCCCTAGGCTGAAAATCTCAGCAGTCCCACAGGTGAGTTGTCCCAGAACCTTCCTCCCCTCTGCACGTGTATCTTCAGAATTTCTTCTGTTTGAAAACACTTTTCTCTCCTCCCGTGTGACTGACCCTGTAAGTGGTGAGAGACCCCGACCTACATCAAAGTGAAGTGCTGAGGGGTTTACATCAGGGTTCAATGAAACAGGAGGCAGGAGAGCTCCCAGGTTGCTTCTCAGATGGGAAGCAACAGCTGCACCCCAGGGGTAAGTACAGTGCCACATCCCAGAAGGTGTTGGTCCCGGTAATCCATATTGGAAAAATATATTTTTAAGGTGATAAGATCTGTGTGACTGAGCTGACAATGGTTCTACCAGCCCCACTGGCTATCCAGCTGCTGACCTCCCAAAAAACTTCTGCAAATGTTGTCCAGTTTCAGCAAAATTTGAGACAACACAGATGCCTCTGAAGAGAGGCCCAAAAGTCTCAAGAGGTCACTGTAGCACGATAGAAATCAGAGACTTTTCATGCTGCTTGTACTAAGGGAAAGCTCAACTATTACTCAGATTATGCCATTTACATATGTAATCAAACTGGACCAAGCGTTGACAGCACTCGCCACCCTCTCTTCCTGCAGGTAGAAGAGGCTCCAAATTACATGAAAAAATAAGAACAGCAGATTCCTTCAGAAGGCACAGTTGTAAAAACAGAGATTTTATTTGTAAAGCATTTTTTAGAAAATATTAAATATATTTGGCATGAACAATCCCAGGATTCCTGCTGTACATGGTCTTTATTTAACATTATTTACAAGGACACCAGAAAAGTTTAATGACAATAAGAATTTGCTATTCAAAGTAGATCCCTCAAAACAGAATGGAAACAGTAGTTACATAGGCAAGAGCATTCTTTTGTGTTTTCAACACAGCTCACTGGAAAACTTGTATTTGTTGACAGAATACATTGTGGAGTGACTACTCAGTGAATATAGCGCCAGAGATAGCTATATTTGGAACTCACATAAAATAAATTAACAACACACTGACTTTCCATCAGTGAGGTGGAGCAGAAGGAGAGCCAAGCTGGCACTACATGGAAGGAAAGGGAGAGTAAAGCATGCCAAACCCTGTTTCACCGGTCCCTGCAAATGAAAATAACATTTCCAGACAGGAACATGAACCACCAGCACAACTTCATTCGTGAAGACACCTTAAAGTGCTCACACAGTCTTGCCTTCTCCACCAGCACAGCCCATTGGCCTCACACAGCAACGCTGCTGCCAAGCCAAGGATGGAGGAGCAAGGCTGGAGGGGACTTCCCTCACCAGGGTGATGATACAGCCTGAACTAGTCAGCCTTTCTGCAGTGAGGCAGCACATGAGATGGCTTCACCCATCTGCTTACCAGGGTCCTCCTCAGGGTTCTCCAGGGAGCTGAACTGTTGCCCAGGAAAGGAGGTATAAAAAAAAGCTGAGCCCAGAGGAGAGCAGAGCTGCTCGGGCACCACCACTCTGCTGAGATCCTTTGTCTGCTGAGGTCCCACCGTGTGCTACAGTTGTAGGCACCTCCTTATTCTAACCTGTGCCAACTAACCAGAACATAATCCCCAAAAATGAAGGGCCTGAAGGGTTCAGGAGGTGTCAGCCAGGGCCTCGACATCACGGGATATTCAGTGCCTCAACAGGAGTGCCCAGCACAGGCATATTGACAAAATACACAGACACAGGGAGAATTGGTTTGAAATGAAACACATAAATCCTACTGAAAATATGCACAGCAGTATACTGCCCTTTGTTGTTTGTTCAGCACATTCCTAGCAGGAAAAACTACACCATAGGATAAACAGACTGTGACTTCACCAGGACTGCAGCTATGAGTGGTGAAGACAGGTAAAGGCCATTTTTTTATTGCTCTTTTAATTGCTCTAAAGCTCCAGTGTCACGGGAGCCTTCAGGTTGCTTCCACTGGACTCCACCTTGAGATTATCAAGAGTAAGGCAAAATTGCACTATTATGACACAACCCTTGACCAACCAACCATATTTGCCAGGCAAAAATAGATGAATAAAATCTTTCAGCTCAAATTAACCTATTCTCTCTCTTCTCCTTTCTAGTAGCATGTTTTGGCTATGCTGTGAAACCACACCTGTATTTAGCACGATTTATGTTTGTCACAGAAAGGCAGCTGCTTCTTCATAGCCCAACAGTTAAAGAAACTTTGAATTCAGAAGCCTCAAGATTGATTTGCTGATCCATCAGAGACTTTCATAGCAAGTCCATATAACCCAGATGCATCCCATTTGTCTTCAAACTCCCAACCAACCTGCATGAGGTAGGACACTAATTACCCTGGGCTTGTTCTGCAGCCACTGGAGAGAAAGAGGCATCTTCATATGGTGATAAAAACCTCAGGGGAGGTGAATCACCCTTGGCTAAGTGCATAAAGCCCAACTCTGGGCTCAGCTGAGCATTCAGGTAACCTGCCACAGGTACCAAGCTCAGTCACTCTGCTTGCTGAACCATCTAAATACAAGAAAGTATTGAGTAGTTTGGATCCTTTCTCTCTAGAAAATCCATGTTAGGAGTCATTGTAATACCTCTAAGGGACAGGCTGAGCACAGGTTTCTCTGCTCCTCACTCTACCCCTATGGGGAAAATTCATCACTCCATACCTTTAAAAGGATGATTGACTGGAGGTTGTTAGGAGCTCAGGAATTTGGGGATGGACATTGGGAAGGAGCAGGTAGAATTAAATTAACATAAACAATTGACATAGAATTTTAAGACAAATATCTTAATTTTCTGCCTTATTGCAAAGATGTAAATGAAACATTGTGCATCCTATAAGTGCTTTTAGACAAAGTTTCCCATGAGTCCCGTGGTTCAACGAAGTATTTGCCCCACCTTTTCCTCATACAGATGCAAAATATTATTGCCAGAAGAATCAGCAGTAATGCAACTCCAAGTAAAACTCCGAGGACAATCACTGCCACTCTCCAGCCATAAATGTTGTCAGTTGGTGACTGAACAGACAGAGCTGAAATTTAAAACACATTTTAGAAATGTTAGCTAGGAACAGTAAAAAGTGGGTGTAAAAAAGCTTGGAGCCCTATGTGACAGCTGTGTTTTACTGTTTGGCAGCTTTGAAACTTCTGAATAGTATCAATAATGTTTTTTGTATGTAGTACAGATTTGCTAGCTAGAAAATTTTATGGTCCACTACACAACAAGTCTCCTCATCCCTGTCTCCATTAAAAGCCAATCTTTCAGGATCAGCATGGAGGGTACAAATGTGATACACACCGCAGCGAAAAGCTCACCTAACCCTCCTTCATGTGAAGAGAACCCATCCCTCAAGTCTAGAACTGGATATGTGCAGTGACACTTTAAAGCAGATCCATAATCTACACAATATCTGGACTATGTGTTCTGTGAATGTTTAAAAAGATTATCTGAGATACTTCGATCTGTTAAAAGAAAGAAGCAAATTTATCAGCTTTTGTGAAGAGAAGGAGATCTGACCCTTTAATCCCCACACCATCACAGAGAAGCTGTTTCAACATCACTTACTTTGTACAGCCAGTTCAGTTTCGTCCCCAAACTTGCGCTTTAATATTTGGCTCAGGTGGGTCTGTATAACATTCGCATCTACGAGCTCTTGTTTTGGCAGCAGAGAGATAAAATCAGCAACCACACTCCCGGGTCTGAACCCAAGCACGGTGATGTCAAAGCGTTCATCCTTCAGTTCGAGGCGCATTTCTCTGACAACCTGTGCAAATTGAAAGGGATATTGATTCCATGTGCCACTCAACTGAGGCAGAGCAGGAATGCACACATCCTACACGTGCCAGGATATTAATTTTGTTTCAGGATAATTGCTTTGGAATAACAAATAAATAAAAAAAAACTTACTGAAGGAGGATTCTGGAAAAATTCATGGCCTGTATTTGAAAATATGAAATCTATGTTTGACTTCCCAAGCACCAACCTGTTTAGGTTTCTATCAATGAATAATGCATTGAAACCAGTTGTCCTCCTCCACAAACCCATGTGAGATCCCAACAGCACAAAATTTGGAATCTACCAAGTGCACCTAATTTCTAAAGTTACCTCCAGTGTCCCTCCCCCAACGTTTTTAACACGTTCAACTAAACTTCAGGCATGGTCCTGCACACACTACCAGCACAGAATGTAGATGTGAGAGGTACAAAGCATATTTTTTATCAAAATCATGATATTACGGAATAACTATGCAAAGAGAGACAAGGGTGTGATTTGCCTCTCAGTCATTTTGACACAAACCAAGTGTAATCCCATTACACCAAGCAAAATCAAATCAATTGCACTGATGTCTCTGAAAGTACAGCCTTGCCCAGTGCTTCCTTGTGGCTATAGAGAGAGAACAAGCAGTCCCCTCTGTTAAGTAAGACTGGTTGAAATGTTTCTGTCAGGACTGATCTTTACAGAAAATCAGGTGTTTGGTTCAGCCCAGTGAGAGAAGTTATCTTCTCGCTGTGGATAAATATGGTATTTTACCTGAAAAGTCTGAAAGATTACTACTTTTCACAGATGGTAACAAACCTTTCTCTGAGTCACTGCTCAGTTATCTACCTCCATCTTTCTCTGTGGGATAAACCCCCACCCCAAACCACTCGTTGCATTAAGTTCTTTGGCCAGAAACTCTGAGAATGCTTTTCTTTCCCTCACCACGATGAGCAGCCTAGATAGGAAACGTGACCTATGCAGGCGAAAAAGTGTAAAATTTCAAGAAAAACTGTGACTCTGGAGCACCATGGAATTTAAAATAAAGAGTTTAACATTCAAACTGTAAAAAATAAAATAAATTCAACACAGAAATCGACTGTGATTCCAGTCATGTTAGAACAGCCTCCCTTTGATTTTGCCTTTTTTCAAAGAAAAGCTGACACGTGGCACAAGGGGAAAGCTTATTAAAAGCCTGAAAAGGGATTCCTGTTGCATTCAGTCGTGCTGGAGGAAGCCTTTTAAATCCACTTTTAAATTTTCTACCCGTGAAAGGGAGAATGCTAGCAGTCATAAGACAAGGTTACCCTTGAGTTGGCGTGGTGAGAACAAATTAACTACCGCTTATGAAATCTGTGGAGATTCTTAGCTAAAGGGTATGATCATCACACTAAAAATAATCTTCTGTGGTAGTTATTTAAAGCAGTCTACCCCAATCTTACAGTAGTTTTACCTCTCCAACAGGCTTACATACATCAGGATTCCTGAGAGGTGTTTAAATTGTTAGTCCTTTTCTTTAACATAATGCCAAAGGCAGATGAGTAGCAGGCTGCTGCTTCTGCCTGTCAGCTTTACCAGCTCTAAGGTGACACTTTTTCTCCTCATTTCCCCCTTGATATGGACCCTTTGGTACCTCCTCCAGTCCTGCAGCCACCACCATGAAACAAATTGCCAATGATCTGGACTCACAGTAGATGCTTGTAAAGGTCCCATCTTTCCAAGTATGTGTTGAAATGTTATTTTTGAGTACTGTTCTCTTTTTCCCATCTCCACAGGCATAGATTTAGTAAGATGGGAGAAAATAGACAGAGCAGGAAGTTCCTTGCACTTATAAAAATGGAATTTTAAAGTGCCTTTCACTAAATAACTTTAATTTGAGGATGACTTAGGGAACATACCCCTCCTTACTGGACAACAAGCTGTCTGTCCTTGACAGTCCTTGTGCTTCCTGTACAGTTTTGTCAAGGAGGGATTATCTTTTTCACACTTTACAGTCTTGATTTAACAATGAATTTAGGAGACTGAGGCTGCTCATAGCAAACCTTTTCTTAGTTCATTCATGTTGACAGAGAAGATTGATCAACTTACGTCTGTTTTGATACTCTCAGCCAATGCTTTGTATTCTTCACTATCAGAGTTATAAAGTGTATTGTTAAATGTCTGGTTTTTTAACAAAACTCTGCAGGCAAATGCTTGGTTATCTGGGGAAAAAGAAAAAAAAAGAAACAATCAGGTGAATCCCAGGATGTCCCTCCACAATTGCTCTTTGGACTTCATTATCTCATATGTTTATAATACTAATTGATAAACCCAGAAACAAATCGAATAATAAGAAAGTGTATCATGTGTGTCTAATGCACTGGCTTTGGAACCTTCAGAGCTGAATTTCTTCAGGTCTGTCAGCCATCACAATCCTCACAACTTGTTCCTCAATCCTGTATTATTCAGGGTGCATCCCACTCCCTAATTCAACAGCCACTCTCCCATTGATTTCAGCAGAAGCAACATCAGTCTGCTGGATTCTGCAAGGCACAGAGTGTGTTTAAATCCTCCTTGTGTAGGTGGATGAGCCCCAAGCCAAAAGAAGAAAGCTTTACATAGAAAAGTCCAGGATAAAAATAGAGCTGGAAGCTGACACTGAAGTTTGATGAAAGCGGGTTCTTTACCAAAGAAGTGTGAAGTTCAGATTCCGTGTGACTTAACATAATAAAGCAGATGGCAAAATACTCATGAAAGATACTATATTGTGCAATAATACCCTGTAGTTATGAATAAATAAATGTTAAAATTCCATAAACTTACCAGAGCATAAAATGCCTTTTAAGTCAGAACAAGGAGTATTTTCTGGTAAACAGAACTCAGTTCGGTTGAAACAGGAAACAGGATCTGGGAAATAAGTTTAAAAATCAAGATAATCGCTTCTGTGCGGGTGTGATTGTTGCCAATAAGAAAATTATGGAACAGGTGAAAGTGTTTTATCATGGCCAAGGAATCACCTAAGCAGCAGTTCCTTTGGCCCAGTGAGAACTTGCAACTGCAAATTATGAAAATGGAGCATATCAAAAGAGAGGCAGGTGGTGGGTGGGCAGGTGGTATTTGAGAGCTTTACTGAAATAACATTGAGAACTCTGATTTCTTATGAGAGCTAAAGATACAGGTTGTACTGTTAATGTGCTTGTACAACTCAGGTAAACTAGATAGAGTTTTCAGCAGTAAAAGCCAACTGGAATTTAATCTGGAAAGAGTACGGATCATGGAGTCTCAAAACTTCAGAATGCTTGTCTGGACTGGCTGATCTGAATTAAACAGCAGTAAGGGGTGGCACAACAGGTTTTATGTGGTTAACTCATTGGGTATAGCTCCAGTTCTCCTCACAGAATTGAACACAATCTTTAACTTCACATGCAATACCAATGACTTGGTCTTTACTGAACTTTTCTAATAGGGCAGATGGATCCAGATTCCAAAAGGAAAAAATTTTTAATTTTTTTTTCAGTAGGGAAACTAATAAATGAAAGCCAGTGGACTGAAGTATTGAAAGATTCCAATGGAAATTATGATGACAATTCCTTGGCTCTGTGGTCCTAAAGACTGAGATAGAGGGTAAGCCCATTAGAAGGAACCCCACAGTTAACTACCAGAAAGGTTTTGAGAATAATCAGACAATGCACTAGAGAACTGAAAAAAGGGTTACAACAAGGTCAGTTATATGTCAGACATCAAGAAATGCTGGAGGAATGTAACAATTGCCAAAAGTCAAGTTAGGTCTTTCAAGGGGTATTAAAAGAAATTGTGAACATTTTCTCAGCCACTGGGAAAATATGATAAAGTGCAGTACAGTTTTATCAAACCTGGATCATGCTGAAATAACTTGGTAGCTTCCTTTCATGGACTGACTTTTAAATCTCTTCCAGTGATTGAAAAGCAATATTATACAGTGCCAACTGGTAATTTTTTCAGTGGAAAAAGATTTGTTTAAAGGAGTTGGCTGAAGGGGAGATGGCAGTGGGGAGCTTTACAAGGAGAAACCTTGATTTAGAGGGATATTGTGTCTTGTGTTCCTTGAGAATCAGTTTTAGTACAGAGACACAATTAGACTGTCTGTCTTAATGTCTGTATCCTATGGAGAATTAAAAAGACAACTATGATAATTAAGGACTGTCTGCATTCACAAAAGCACATATAACCTGAACTTCACATTACCAGAATATTTTCTGTTAAATTTGCAGCCAAAATATCCTGACTTCTGTACAGAATTTTCTGTCTCAACAACACAGCGTGGTCAGAAATTTTACAGAGCCAGCACTTGCTCTCGCAAACTGCTGTTTAATCAAAGCAGTCCTCTGAGTCAAATAAATAAAGAGGACTTACAGGAATAAGAGTCTATGAGATCAAATCCAGAGGACACTGTAACATGATATTGTGTGTGTATTTTGATTAAAAGGAGGTTATGAGTTGACTGAGGAAGTACCTGTTCGGACGGTAACTGACGCCCAGTAATTCTCAGCACAGGATGACACTCCCACAGATATGGTGTACACATGGGCAGGAAGTAGATGTTTAAACGCAGCTTTTGTCTCTTTTGTAGTAGTTTTGTTTATCTCCTGCTTTCCATCCGTGAGGGAGATGTTGTAGAGGCTGCCTGTGCCGCCACCGGTCCAGCTGAGCTGTATTTCTTCCCCAGTCACGTTCTGGATTTCGATGGACACTGGCACTGCAAAGTGAAAAAGTTTCATGCAGCTGAGAGTGGTTCATCTCCCTTCTATACTTCTACACATTTAATATTGAAGAAAAAAAACACCACAGTTAAACCAATGTAAATTTTTGTGAGTTTTCTTGGAGCTGATTTCGGCTTTTCACCTCGCTCTCCCACAAGAGTAGAAATAAACTCTTCACTCTGTAGGTGTCAATCATGCATTAATATACTTTGTTTGATGGCTCCAAAACACTAATGGGTAACATTCTACTTGCTTCTAGTCTTTCTAGAGGTAAGGTGTGGTAAATGGTCAGAATTGTACAGTGTTGGTTTAGGATGGTGAAGAAATGATGAGGCTGGATGGGAAAAATATGAGTTTTCTGGTGTGGACTGCTATTTGACTCATGCTGATATTACTGGTATACTGATATACTGCTGGATTACTAAAATGCCACCAGATTCAGAGCAGTAGGAAGGCATTTAATACAGATGCTTCATGATAAGATTGAGAAAAACCACCTTTGACAGTGGTTTATTACTGCAGGCAGGCACCCAGGGGTCAGGAGAGCTTTACTGAGGAGAAGAAACTTGATTGATATATGTATAACTATGTATTTTCAGTGGTTCTATCAGGCTTCCCTTTCTGAAGTTGTATCCTGGGATTTTACCTCACAGCTGATATAACTGATGAACAAGAATATTGGATCTGATGGGATAATTTTTATTCTACTATTTGATATCAAATATTTACTTACTGCAAGGTGGTGATGGAAATGTGGTAGTGAAAATGGAATTAGATGTTGATCCTGTAAATCCAGTTGTATTGGTTTCTGGAGGGACTGGACTTGTCTGTTGTGTAACTCCAGTTGTATTAGTTTCTGGAGGGACTGGACTTGTCTGTTGTGTAACTCCAGTTGTATTGGTTTCTGGAGGGACTGAAGTTGTCTGTTCTGTAATTCCACTTGTATTAGTTTCTGGAGGGATTGAAGTTGTCTGTTGTGTAACTCCAGTTGTATTGGTTTCTGGAGGGACTGGACTTGTCTGTTGTGTAACTCCAGTTGTATTGGTTTCTGGAGGGACTGGAGTTGTCTGTTCTGTAATTCCAGTTGTATTAGTTCCCAGAGGGACTGAAGTTGTCTGTTCTGTAACTCCACTTGTATTGGTTTCTGGAGGGACTGAAGTTGTCTGTTCTGTAATTCCACTTGTATTGGTTTCTGGAGGGACTGAAGTTGTCTGTTCTGTAATTCCAGTTGTATTGGTTTCTGGAGGGACTGAAGTTGTCTGTTGTGTAACTCCACTTGTATTGGTTTCTGGAGGGACTGAAGTTGTCTGTTCTGTAATTCCAGTTGTGTTGGTTTCTGGAGGGACTGAAGTTGTCTGTTGTGTAACTCCAGCTGTATTGGTTTCTGGAGGGACTGGAGTTGTCTGTTCTGTAAAATAGAAATTTGGAGGCAGTGAGTAGAATTTATTATAAAGTTTACCAGGGTCATGCTATTTAATTACATAAACAACTTTCAAAAAACAGGCACAGAAAATATGCTTCTGTTTTTTCCTAAATAGTCAAGGGGGGTATCCATTCTCACATAAAATCCAATCCACAAAAGGCCATTGAGAGTAAATATAATGAACTATTACCTAGGGGGTCAAGGAAGGGAAAAGACCTTATATGCAATTTTTTTAAGGTTTGGTTTTGGTTTGAGGTTGGGTTTTTTCTAATTTATATAAAGTGCTTATGTGAAGGCAGATCCTGCTGACAAACTCTCCCTGGAACTTGGGGACTGTTATCTGTGAATCCTTCCTTGCACTGACAGGAATAAGTGGCTCCTTCAGCAGTGCAGGTGGCATTTTGGGAACAGTCATTTAAGTTCGGTTGGCAGCTATTCCTTGCTACAGTGAAGTTGAACAAAATAGAAAAAGAAGAATGTTTTAATTAGCATTGGAAAAAGTGATAGATAAGCTAAATACTATTTACTTTTCCCCACCCAGATCTCATTTCACTGGATGTTACCATCAATGAAATATACACTGCTGATTGAATTCACAGTAAAGTTTTTAATTTGGCAGGAGGACAAGTAAAGCTTTAGATCTTCGCCCAATGCAAAATTTTCAGGCTGACTTTAAGTGTCTGAAAGTTTGGCCTCCTTTTGCCTGTTGATGTCCAGGTAGGTGCTCAGTGAAAAAGGGCTTCATTTTAAGGCCATGAATGTGCCAGTTTGCCAACAGAAAAGGAAAAGATTCCTAAGGAAATACCTGTCTGAACAGTCAAGGAGGTGCTGACATTCTTAGAGCAAGATGAAACACCCACGGATATTTGGTATTGATGACCAGAAAGCAGATTTTTAAATGCAATACTTGTTCCATTTAGGATTTTCTTCTCCATCTCTCCTGAATTTCCCCATAGAATCACCGTGTAAGGACTGTCTCCTGTGCCACCTTGAGGCTTCCAGCTGAACTGTATCATTGTACTGGTCACGTTCTCCAGCTGGATGGACAGAGTGATAGGAGCTAAAAAGCAGAAAGGAAATCCCATGTGAAACATGTAGTTACAGTCTGTGTGTCTTTAAGGAATAAAGTACTAATGTGAAACTGATTGCCTAAGGAGAAATTTAAGTTTCTGTAATGTTTTTATAAAGATATAAACATAGAATCATATCACAGAATCGCAGAATGCATTGGAAGGGACCTTAAAAATCACCTAGTTCCAACACCCTTGTCGTGGGCAGGGACAGCTTCCACTAGACCAGGCTGCTCAGGGCCCCATCCAGCCTGGCCTTGAACACTTGCAGGGATGAGGCAGCCACAGCTTCTCTGGGCAACCTATGCCAGGGTCTCACCACCCTCACAGGGAAGAATTTCTTCCCATTGTTTACTCTAACCCTACCTTCGTTCATTTTAAAGCCTTTCTCCTTTGTCCTGTCACTACACGCCCTTGTACAAAGTCCCTCTTGTAGGTCCCCTTTAGATGCTGGAAGGGGCTCAAAGGTGTCCCCAGAGCCTTCTCCAGACTGAACCACCTCAGCTCTCTCAGCCTATCTCCATAACAGAGGTCTTCCAGACTGCTGATCATCTTGGTGCCTCCTCTGGATGAGCTCCAACAGCTCCATGTCCTTCCTGTGCTGGGGACCCCAGAGCTGGAGGCAGCTCTGCAGGTGTGGTCTCACCAGAGCAGGGGGGCAGAATCCCCTCCCTTGCCTTGCTGCCCACACTGGTTTTGATGCAGCCCAGGACACATCTGGCTCTCTGGGCTGCCAGCACACGTGGCTGGGCTATGTTGAGCTTAAACAACATGTCCACCAACACCCCCAAGCAGGGCTGTTCTCAATCCATTCCTACCTAGCTGGTATTTGTGCTTAGGATTGTTCCAGCCCATGTGCAGGACCTTTCACTTGGCCTTGCTGCACTTCATGAGGTTCACATAAGGCCCAGTTCTGAAGCCTGTCCAGGTCCCTCTGGATGACATCCCTTCCCTCCAGCATGTTGACTGCACCTCAGAGTTTGGTGCCATCAGCAAATTTGCTGATGGTGCCCTTGACCCCACTGTCCTTGTCACTCACAAAGATGTTAAACCATGCTGGTCCCAATATAGACCCCTGAGGACACCACTCATCACTGGTCTACCCTGGCATCGAGACTTTGTGAAAAAACAAGTTATACCTTATCACATGTGCAAGTGCATATCTCCTGTTGAATTCCATGAAAGCACTAAGACTCCAAATCAGGGAAGGATTAACCCATTAGATTTGTAGAACTAGAATACTGTTATGCACTGAAAATGAAGATCATGCCACCAATTTTTTTTTTTTTTTTTTTTTGGTGTAGAATACAAAAAGACTGCATTCTCCTCTTTTCTATCTTTGCTTTTTCATCCATTAAAAATGATGAAAGATTCATTACTGCATATTCTTTGAAGTCGGCAGATAGTCCTTTGGCAAAAAACTAAAGATACACCAGAAAAGAATTAGTGTTGAAACAAACAGGAACTGAGTTAGCACAAATAAATTCAACTGAATTCTCTCAGTGAAGGAACTGCCTCTAGTATATCATAAAAGAGAATTTCAAAACTCAAATAAAAACTCAAATAAAAACCACTAAAACTGTTCACTAACATAACTTGAGCTATGCAGCATAACGACACAACATTTTACATCAGTGACACAACACACTGCCTAAACACAAGGTGTGCCATTTCAAAAATAACTGCAGACAGGAGCTGCAACCTTTGAGAAAAGCACGTAGACACAGGGATTCATACTCCTGGCTTAAATTCCCAGCTTAAAAAAGACAATTGTGAAAAGCTCGAATTCCAACCAAAAATAGCAAAAATAAAATTACACTCAATTCTTCCAAAAATAGAGAAAACTATATTTACTATCGTGTTAAAATACTCACAGCAAGTTCCAGTAGCAGAAGGATTAGCAGATGTGGATATGTTAAGGTTCGGCGTGGATGGGGTCGCCAAGGATGTATCAGGGAGGGAATGAGAGGTCTCAGCACTGGGATCATTTGTCGTTCTGCTCCCCTGGTTCACAGTGGGACTTTCCCCTTCTCCAGGATGGGTTGTGGCACTGTTATCTATGGAGGCCGTGGTTGTGGAAGGCAAGGGGCTCCCCATGGAAGATGGAGTGGTCTCTGCCTCCACCGTGGTCTGCCCCTGTGTGAGGGGTGTGGAGGTGTGTCGAGCTGCCGGTGTCTCCCTGCTATCACCCGGGGTGGATGAAAGGCTGGCCTCGGTGGTGTCTGAGGCAGGAGAGGGGCTGGAGGCAGAAGCCACTGGGTTGGTGCTGGGTGTGCTGGGAGTTGGGCTGTGTGTCACCACCTCAGCCATCACAGCATCCTGACTGAACCCCTGTAACACCAGCAGTGGAGGAGACAGGGGAGAACGTGGGTGCCGTGGGTGGGTGGGATGTGGTGGCCGAGCGCTCCTCAGTGGTGCTGCTGGAGCTGTGTTGTTGCAGGGTGGGAGTTATGCCTCCAGACCCTGCGGGAGAGGAGGAGGAATGGCTGGTCACTGCCAAGCTGGGCCCCAGAGAAAGGGAGGAGGCAGTGCCACTCTCTGCGCCCATGGATGTGGCAGTGGTGTCAGACCCTGTTGTGGGGATGGATGGGCTCATCGCAGCACTCCCAGCAGACACCCAGAGAGAGCTCCCTTCCCAAATGGGTGTTGTAGTCTCTGTCCTTCCTCCTCCACCACTAACTGTCCCCATCGTGGAGGGGGACACCGGGGATGTGGCTGGGAGGGAATGGGCTGTCTCAACACTGAGCTTAGTCATTGTTTCCCTCCCCTGGTTCACCGTGGGACTTTCCCCTTTGCCAGGAGGAGTCGTGGCACTCGTAGCTACAGAGGCCATGGCTGTGGGAGGCAAGGGGCTCCCCATGGAAGATGGAGTGGTCCCTGGCTCCACCGTGGCCTGCCCCTGTGTGAGGGGTGTGGAGGTGTGTTGAGCTGCCGGTGTCTCCGTGCTGCCGCCCAGGGTGGACAAAAGGCTGGCCTTGGTGGTGGTATCTGTGTCAGGAGAGGTGCCAGAGGTGAACACCACTGTCCTGCGGGTAGTTGGTCTGCGTGTCGTGGGCTCTGCTGTCACAGCAGCCAACTGAACGCTCGTAACGCCAGAAGTGGAGGACACGAGTGTTGTGGACGGGCGGGCTGTGGTGGCCAAGTGCTCCTCAGTGGCGCTGCTGGTGCTGCTTCGCTGTGGACTGGGAGTTGTGGAGCCATCAGGAGAGGACAAGGAGTGGCTAGTCCCTGTCGAGCTGGGCCTGAGGGGCAGGGAGGAAGCAGTGCCGCTCCCTGGGCTCGTGCTGGTGGCTATGCTGCCATGTCCTGTTGTAGGGGTGGCTGGGCTCACCACATCACTCCTGGCGGGTGTCCCCAGTGAGCTCCCTTCCCCATTTGGCCTCGTGGACTCAGTCTCCGTCCTCCCTTCTCCACCCACCATCCTCATCGTGGAGGGGGAAAGAAAGGGTGTGTCCAGGAGGGAAGGGGCTGTCGTGGCGTTGGGCTCAGCCATGGTGACATTGGCGTCTTGTGCAGCCGGGCCAGTTGTCCTGTCTGGGTCTGTGCTCACAGAGCCATTTACAGGGATCTGAGCAGTGGCAGTCGTTAGGTTTGTTCCCTCTGTCACTGCGGTCTTGGTACCTGTCACATTTTAAAAATGTGGATTATGGATATTTGCCCTCTACTCCTTTAATAGTCTACCAAGTGTAATTTCGTTCCTGCGTAACAAGTTCACTTATCTTTCTCATCTTCATTGTTATTCCTTTCCCTCCCCATTTCTAGTTTCATACTTTATTTGCTCTTTCTTAACTACCATGGAATTTCTATGTTATTTCCTTTTCCATTTGCATACACTTAAGGAGCTCTTTACCTTACTGGTTTCCTGGTAATACTTTTTTTCTGCATAAATTTAGAGATTTATATAACCCTTGTATACGCTTTGCTGTTTCTAGTCTACACATTTTTTCAATTTTTTTATGCTCTTCTCTTCCTGTAAATATTATTTCATTTACAATTAGGACAGGGTTTAGTGGAGGACCTGGCAGTGTTAAGTTTAAGTTTAGACTTGATGATCTTAAAGATCTTCTTCAACCTAAATCATTTGATCATCCTATGATTTCTCTAAACTAAATTTTCTAGAGAATTGACAAGGAATATTAAAAATGAATGGAATGCCTTTTTCAGCATAATTTTCTCCTTAGCTGTTTAGGCATATTTGATTATTTCCATTTTTTTTTTTAATTTTGCAAGGCATTTATGCCTTTTTTATTTACTGGCTGTCAGGCAGGAGAGAATGATTTTTCTGTTGATATCCTAAATCATAATAATCCTGGGAAAAAATCATTGCCTTCCTGTGTTTACCTGTATCTCTAACTATAAATAAATCATAACTTCTTTAGTTTGCAAGTTTTAAAGATGACATTTCTAACTCTCACAATATTTCTTTAAAGGGAAAATCAAATCCTTTTTCTGTTGTGATTAGATAGTCAAGCCAATTTTGGCTCATTTCATTTACTTGATGAAGTAATTTAACCTTGATTTTGAGGAGTGGCTTTGTTCCTGCTAAGAACACAGGCAGAGGTCTTCTGTTTCATGTAATTTTTAATCCTTAGCAACACCTAGTTATTATCTTGGGGCTTTGGCTTTGGCTGCAGGAAACTTAAAGGATTCTCAGAGAAGTTGTACTGGAGTAGCTCAAATTCTTAAGAACCACATTAATTAACTTCTTTTGACTCTACCTACCTGTAAAATTACCGTGGGTGGGGTTTTTTCATATTGTTTGGTATATACATAAAAACTTGCAATGTAACAATACATATTTTGCAAAATTCCTCCTACAGACTGGTATCTTTTCTGCATCCAAATACTGCTGGAATTTTAAGACCCTTGTGCTTGTATCGCTCTGGATGTTAACAGCAAGTACTGATCACTCAAAAAACTTGTGTTCATCTGCATTGAATGACATGAAACAAGAGAGTACGGATAAAATAATGCAGCCTCTGAATTTCTAGATGTTGTTTCAAAAAACTCTTACCGTGCAGTAAAAACACAGCACAATTAATACAATCTAGTCCACGCTTTTATTATGAGTCTTTTCCTGAAGAGTCTTTCAGAGGAGGAAAAATTCGCAAAATATATCGTTTGGTGGTCTCATAACTAAGCTTAAGGTTAAAAAAGGCATAAAATTTGGTCAGACACTGCATGTTTCATCTTTTAGGTGAGTTTTCTGAATACTTTGCTCTCCTCCTTTGAACTACTTACAGCTTTATATCCCTACTAAAATACCTTATGAAATACTAAATTCACATTAAGCTAAATTGAAAACAAAAAACTATAAATATTGCATGCTATTGCATTTTATATTTGTTTTTAGCCATGCACACCCCCCACACTGATTATCATTTCAAATGTATCTCAAGGACATCCTCCAAACACGTAGCAGTGGCAAATAATCAAACATATTTTAACTTACAGAGAAAAAGGGAGAAGATGAAAAGCCAAAGGTAATTCCAAGCTCCCATGTTGAGCTTCCACCTCCTTGCAGTGCTCTCCCCACGCGTGGAACTGGCCTTTTGGCGGGAAGACCTCGTTAATTTAAACACGGGCGAGGCTGCAAGAGCTCCATCTCAGCCTCTGCAAATCCCTCCTCACGCAGGTGGGATCGCAGCCAATGTAATCAAATGCTCACCTGCTCCACCGTAAATTCCACAGCTTTCTGCCGAGGCATGGTTGCTTTTCTTTAATGGAGCAAATTCTAAACGCCATCCAAAAGTGAGCCAAAGGGAAAGACGGGCAGGGTTCAGTGGGCAGTGCCTCAGATGTTCGACATCCGAGCATATTCAATCAGTAAACTATTTTAACAACCTTGGGGCTGTGCAATGCGTGACTGAGATACAGAACTGAGGAGCCTTGGGTCTGAAAGTCTTGCACTAATCAGATTTTTTTCATAGAATCGTAGAATCAACCAGGTTGGAAGAGACCTCCGAGGTCATCAAGTCCAACCCTTGATCCAACACTGCCGGGGTTACTAGACTCCATATTTTACTGTATTTTTAATTATTTAGGAGCAAATGTTTAAGTATTCAGTTCTAACTTGTGTTTTTATCGTATTCAAATAACAAAATGCCAGAAATGCACCGAACAGATACCAGCCATTGTTTCTCCAATGCTGGAAAGAGGCTGGAGATGGTGTAAATCTCTGTTGCTTCACTTCTTTGAACCAGGTGGAAAATACTGAATGACCCAGGCCTCTCACTCTTAGCTGAGTTTATGCCCTTTTTGTTTAGTAGGTAAGCTCCTGCTAGCTCTAAGCAGTTGCTACAAAGAGGCACTTCTGGTTGTCTCCTTTGGGTCACAAATTTAATCCAGTAATGCCAAACCTGCCTCTGCATGCCTGGGGGCCATGAACGACCTAAACGGTTACATTGTGTCATCATTTTAATGTCCTTGCTGCCTGAGGTTTATACTGATAAAAGCCTTCATTAAACAATTTTCGGTGAGATTTGTTTTCCAGCCACAGTGTGCAAGGAATGCTGTCTGGAGTGGAGCAGGATGGGGTGGAGTGGAGATGAGCAGAGTAAGGCCTGAAGAAGGAAGACCATTATCTACTTGATCATTTTTTTTCCCCCAAGTTTTTCATAGATATACCAAGACTTGTCATATCTACAGCTACATAAATCCTGGGTTTTGCTTCAGTAGTTGTTTTCTAAAGTTGGTTTCCTTTTCGTTTTACTTTGTCAGCAAAGTAAAACGAAGAACAATAGTCTTGCAATTAACTTACAGGTATTATTGTTCTCTGGTGTGAGGCAGCAGTTTCAGCTTTTTACCTTGTTTGACGTATAAAAACCTGACTCAGATCTCTTCTCAGCAATCATTTGCTTACGCCTTTGACTGGAATTCTTAAAGAATAAATATGAGCTATTTCCTCTTGCATAAAGAATTGGAGATGGCATTTTTCCCTTTACTTGGGAGGCCAGTGTCTTCAGACCTCTCTCTCTTGGACTGCCATAAACTGAACTCCAGTCTCTGACTCAGATTTGGGCTCTTGGGGTGGTGTCATTCCACACACAAGGGTAGTGTTGAAACCTAAGCTCCTTCCCTGATCTCTGCAGGTCCTACTCACCTGTGAACAACCTGTGAGCGTCAAGGCTCTTGCAAACTAGAGCCTTCAGTGCCTATCATGGAAAGGGTGGGATATTCCACTCCCTGTCTTTCTTAACCAGGATCATCTGCTATGAAATGCCATAGAAAATTGGCTGCAAAGTCTATGAAGTCAAATTTTTAATTGCCTTAGAAGAAAAACCACTGGTTTTCAGTGTATAGTTCAGATTTAGTATTATAAGCCCACTTTTACCAAATGGCTTATAACTTCAAAAACAAAACAAAACAAAACAAAACAACAAAACAAAAAAACCACCACAAAACAAAAACAAACAAAAAACAAAACAAAACAAAAACAAAAAAACAAAACAAAACCCCAAACTCTTCTTTTTTCAGGGGAATAGGTACAGTAGGGTGGCTGGTTGTTTTATTACAGCCTGTTGCCAGAGGTTCTGATAAGCTTCTCTGTTAGGCAGCCTTGACAGTTTCTCTTTTTTCACCTTGAAAATTTATGCCCCAAACCCAAACTAACTTCTAAATCAGCTGGTCATACACTTTACTGTAAAAGTTGCTTTCTGGTAAATGCAGAACAAGTTTTGCCACATGCCTTAAAGATAAGAGACTTCCCAGTATGAAACTGGTGACCCTTCTCAAATATTTTAAGTGCCTTGTAATTCATCTTACCAACCTATAAACTCAAGATTTAAATGA